TTCTCGCTGCCTCTGGAAGCATGAATCTGCTTGGCGCTTCCTTCCCTTCGGGCAGCCATGAAACGATCAAGGAGTCCAACCAACCTAGTCCGCTAACTCCAAACACTAGCTCTGATCAGCAGGGTGCGCCATCGCTCTTATCAAATACAAGCGAGAAGAGAGCTACTCTCCAGGAACAAGGGCCACCGACGCCTGAAGATCGTCCAAGTAACTTCGGCCCGCCCCTCACTTTGCCGAAGAGAGCAAGTCTTCGTTTAGATACAACAAAGGCCGTAAAACGGAAGCCTCTGCCTGCGCATCAGATCCGAGAATCCGATGCCGCAAGTGTTGCAGGAGAGCCTAGCTACGAGGACCTGCGCCATACTGTTGATGAAGAGGTCCTGAACTGGGTCGGCTCCCGCCAATTCTCGCTCACTTCTCCTGATAAAGAGAGCCACCAAGATGAGGAAAGCATATATGATGACGCGTCTGCAACTTCTCCCGATTATGCCAGTACTCGGGGGTCTATCTACAGCAAGCGCTCGGTTAGGTCAGTCACTAGGCCCAGAATGGGAGTCATGAAAACCGTGGGATCTGGTCCCCCGAGACAAGACTTGGTCATCGGTGATGCACATTACACCGTTGACGAACCAAAACTGGAACCCAGTGCCGATATCCCCAGCATCGACTTTGGGCCGACCTTAACTTATCTACCTACGACTGGGCGTCCCAGTACGGGCGATACTCTGAAGAAATCCACGCACCAGAGGAGCGACTCAAATTCAACAGAAAAGCAGTTCTCTTATCAGGCAGAACGACAGCATTCAAGGTCTCCGAGTAATAACATGATGTGGCAGCCGGGTATGACTGCACCCCGTCCGACCACTCCAGGCAGGCTTACAGCGGAGCAATTCGTGCAACAACGATCAGCCCCAAGTCCCCCAATCACCACCCATAACCGAACTCTTTCCTCTACACCACCGCCCCCTCGCCCTGCTTCCGGGGACTGGACCAATAATTCTCGGCCCCAATCGCACTTGTCTGGCAATCGAGATGCACCGCCTCGCCCACGTTCCCGCGGCGCCAACAGCATCATGAACTACAATGAACTGTCGTCTCATCTTTCAGCTCGTGAACAGGAACACGTGGCTCGTATGACTGGTGCGCCTCTACTCGACATATCCAATGTCAACAAAGCCCAGCCGACCCCGGTAAACCCCATGGGTCTGGTGGGAGCGATTGATGCTCGTGAGCGCGAGAAGAAAACCATCCGTGAAGGCCTGTCCAACCAAATGGTACAGCATGCGATCGTGCAACGCCAGCAAAATTGGCAACAACAGCAGATGGCTTCCAACGCTTCCGCGGCTGCCTACAATCCGGGCAGTCACTATAGTCTTTACAATATGCCCACGGCGAGCCGCACGTGGGATGCCCTCAACCAGCCATACCGGCCAGATGAACCCCGGCGCCAGTCTTGGTACGGACAATTCGCATCACAGCAGGCGCAAACTCCTCCAATCTACCAGCAAAACCCGCCTTATGGCCAACATCCAGGCTACTCTGGTAATGCTAGCACCCTGCATTACTAAACCTGTCATTTTCATCCCCTCCTTCACATCCCATCTCCTTATGTCTATCCTACTTCAACTTCCTCTCCTTTGCGTAAATTCAAGATCTAAACCCTTCTTTGCTTTACTTCACTTTGCATTAGCCCCGTGAGCTTTCTCTACATATTAGAGTTAGACGTTTCAACGCCTCAAAGGCTACCTGCTCTATATTTTGGACTTGATTGGGTGAAAGCGATCATTTTCATTGGGTTTACGGAGTATCTTCGGGAATGTTCCTTGTTTTTGTCTTGCAAGCATGGCATAGTGAGGTAGTATTTATTGCTTTTTAAAGAGTGCAGTTGCACTCCTGGCATTGGGTGGCCATATCTCTTCCTCGAATCAAGAATCTTTTTCTTTTTCTATCTCAAGCAGGTGCCCAACGATTATATCGAAGAAAACATAAGTAGAACGGATTGACCCGACCAATGAACATAAAGTATAATCCCTTTGATTGTAGTAGAATTACTTCAAGATCTGAACACTAACAATGGTCTTAGGGCAAAATGGCACTAAGTCGTACTAGTAGTCAACCAGAACCAATCAAATGCAACAATGGCTAAAGCTAGTACGTTGTTTAGTGTAGTGGCGTTTACGAAGGACCAACATCCTAGCAACTTCTCAATCAATCAATCAATCAATCAATACACTGTCTGTAGGCAGGTAGTACCCATGCAAAGGCTATTGAACGTGCTATGTGTCTTATGGAAACAAAAACAAGTAAACCAAAATAATAGTACCAATGATATAGAAGGCAAAATAATAGGTGTATCAATGTGTTTTCCCCCGACCAAGATCAAAATGGATCAGAAATGCAATCAATGTAGGTGAGTAATAGATGTAACGCCTGAACTTCCGGAGTTCTCCCTTTCATCCGTCCTTTCTTGCTCTTTCGCTCCCCGTGTCTGTCTGTCTGTCTGTCTTCCTGCCCCTATACTCCATAAAACGCTCTCCATGGGGTCTGTTTGTTTTCTTTTCTGTTTTACTTTGTGTGTTTGTATTTTCGTTTCTGTTTAGTGGGTTGTGGCTTTGGTTGTTCTGTTTACTTTTTCAATTCTTTTCGGATTTTTGCTTGCTTTACGCTCAGTTCGAGTGGAGCTTCTTCATCCTGCTGACACCCTCGTAGAGACCACGGTCTAGGGCTGCCGCGACGGTCAGGGTACCACCGATGATGGCGCACATACCAGTCAAGAAACCGGTGAAGGTCTTGGGGCGGGCCTCCCGGTTGATGACCTTCATTGGGGAGATGTCGTAGTTAACGAAGACTCCAGGAATGCCGTTGGCGGCATGCAGACGCTCCTTGTGGCCCTCGTCGGAGGCGTCTCCGCCCATCAGCGAGCGCTTGTGCGACGTCACAGAGTACTGGTGCGTCTCGATGCTGCCCTCGGCACCGTATGCAATTCCGTGGGAGCCAAGAGGGGCCTGCTCATACGCGGAGTGGATGGAGGACGAGAACAACGGATCCCAACCCAGGGGAAGGTAAGAGGTCGACACCACCTTGACGAAGTACATGTAGTTGTAGCCGGGCTCGTTTGTCTCCTGCTTGGTGTTGTCCAGAGGGTTGGTGTGGTGGTGGTCAGTCCATTGCCAGCGATCAGAGAGCTCGTCGGGAAGTTGAGGTCCGAACCGCAGCTGGTGGATCTCGTGAGTCATGGTGTGTCTCTCAGATTCGGGCAATTCGGCGTCGAAGAAGGTTGCGAGGTCGTGGACGTGCATGTTTCCGCTGGTGAAACTGCGACCCGGAGCGATGTGGAAGTTACCGACCACCTTGTTCACACGGAGGACACCCTCAAGGCGGCAGCCCTCACGGCGTTGCGCATCGATGCGCTCCGCGTAGCCCTCAAGCTCGCACTGCTCAACGTTCTCGCCCTTTCCGAATGCCCATTGTTGCTGTGCATAGGCCTCACGGACTTCGTCGCAGGTGTTGCAGCATCCAGGTTTGCTCGCACCCGCGGGAGCAGTCGCGCCGTAACATTCACCGCAGTAATCAGGGTCGAGATGCTTGGCGCTCTCTTCCTTGGAGTGACTAGGAGAGTTTATAGTTAGCAGTGCAATTGGCGTTGGCAGGAGCCGGTTTGGAGTTGCAACTTACAGCTCAAGGGCCTTAACGTCGATGACGCGGCCTCCTTCTGCGGCAGAAGTAAGGCGCACCTTGTTGATACCGTGGACAACACCGGTCTGTTGCTCGCCAGAGACATCCATGACGTCCAAAGTCAGGAGCTCACAGGGAAGACGGGGGAAGGTTATGTTCAGGTGAATCTCCATCTTCTCGCCTGTTCGAAGGGTTCATCAGCAATCAAGTCATGACTGGCCGTCCAGCAATCACTAAGCTATTATACCTCTTGACTTATCTACCACCAGTTCGGGCATAACAACCACCCGCCTGTAATCCACCCATTCACCCCACACAAGCCACAGGATGACCAGCAACGAGGCTATGGTGATGACACCTCCGGAGGTGGTACGGACGCGCGCATCCTCCACTGTTTTAGCAAAGGCATCTAGCCTTGTGAAACGCGATTTCGCCGGCATTTCTCTAATTGATCGACATGAATACGAAGGAGTGTTTGGGGATATAGACAAAGGAGCGTTGGTCCGACTAAAGACCAGCTAGTGCCCGCGGGAATGAAGCCTGTTGGAGAGAACCGTATGTAAGCTGAATAGTTCGAGGAAGGATCAATGAATGCAGAGGATTGAAGACGGGGGCAACCTTACGCGAACCAAGTCGGATAAAAAGATTGGATAAGCACGGGAAGTCGCGATTTGCGCACGACTGAGGACGATCAACAAGCAGACAGTCCTTGGGGAAGCAGGCCGATGGAAGCTCCAGCTGTCCTGTTGATGAAGCGGAGAAACAGCCACTCCTCCGATGGATGCCACTACCAGATCGGGACTAGCCGCGTAATAACCTCTGCTCACTTTGGTGCATCGGTATTGTGTATTACCGTCCGTGCCAAAGGACAGACTACAGCCTCTGATTGGCCAATCGCCCTGTGCCTGGTGCACAATCACGTGGAGGGCCTGCGCCCGGCCGCCCACGTGACTCTGCACAGCTTCGCGGGCACTGCTTTTGGTGGTTCAACGTCACTTTTTCTGCGCTGACTCCGTCTTCTTGCTTCTCTTCCTCCCCTCTCATAACACTCCTCCCCCACATCGAGGTTCGCGGTTGCTTAACTTGAACCGTCCTCGACCTCTCACAAGTATCGCATCGGGTATTTCTTTCGCTACTTCGCATTTTCCTCCTCCTTCCTACAAAACCTCTTCGAATCGATCGTTGTATGTCTATTGATCCGATCTCGAACTACTAAAGGCGAGCAGCGCTCGTTTCGCCTCCACAACACTCAACGTCTACCATCTCCTCCTTCGCCCTCTCTCCTCATACGAAAGATTACTACGAAAACTATCGTCTCTATCAACATGAAGGGCGGAAAAGGTTCTCGCGGTCGCTCGGGGGGTTCGGATCGTGGAGGCATTCGCAAGCGGGGTGCTGCGACACGGGTCGATCGAGAAGGTGATCTGATGATGGACGCTGGCTCTGCACGAAACCGTGGAAAGAAGGGTCGTGGCGATTCTGGCCGGTCGCAAGCAGCGAACAAAGCCATGGATGCGATCCAAAAGGCCATCTCCAGTAACTCAGACACTCAAGCGAACATCCGACAAGGAGGACGGGGAAGTGGTCTGGAACAGGTTCTTGTTCGTGGCTGGAAGCAAAGCAAGGCAGCTTCCAACCGTGACGGCGGTCTCGAATCCCTCATCGCCTTCCTCGAGAAAAAACTCAGCCCACCCGACTCGAAAGCTGGCACACGCGCAAGGATTACAAAGGTATGTGCAACACCAGAACTGGCGGTCACCGACATCAATTATCAGCTTCGTCCTCTCCGATGTGCTCTCGTTTGCAGGGGTGGTGCGTTCAGAACGACGATCGGCACTTTCTTAGTCTCTCCTGGCGTTTGTTCTTTTGGATGAATGGCGCGGCTCGCAAGGTCCCTTATGCCTTACTAACGTTCATTAGTCGCGGGTTGAAGGCGACGCTCTTATCGTCTCTATTCGGCCAGAGTTGTTGGAAAGGATGCTTCAGCTCAATGGGTTTAGTTTTGCAGGTGCCCCTCTTACCACCGAAAAGTATGATCCGTCTACTGGCGGATTGTTGGACCAGCCTATGCTGTCTGCTATGGCACAAAATGGCGGCACATCCTCTGCTGCCGAGACCAAGGCGAAAATGACGACTATCCTCGGCAAGCGCTACACCCAGCAAACAAAGTTACTCGATCTTTCGAAATTGGGAACCGATCCGGATCTGTTGGCTATGGGAATCTTTGGCAGCACCTCTACCGAGTCAAAATTTTTCCCGGCACTGATGAAGGTTTGGGAGCTGAATTTCGACAATGCCACGGCGCGCCGAGAGGCAGTGGAGAGTGTCAGTCTCGCTCATAACCAGCTTGCCAACATTACAGCTGTGACGACACTAGCATCGACAATTCCCGACCTGAAAAATCTGGACCTATCCAACAATGAATTCAAAGATGCGCAGTCCTTGATTGGATGGCGCTGGAAATTCCGGAACCTCGAATTTCTCGACCTATCAAACACTCCTTTTAGCGCCGACCCTACTTTCAAGGATACTATGCTGAAGTGGTATCCCAAGCTCCGGTTCCTGAATAATGTCGAAGTCCGCACCGCAGAAGAAATAGCGGCGCAGAAGAAGACTCCGATTCCAGTGCAGCCACCACACTTCCAGGACGACTCTCAGATCGCAGAGAACTTCGTCCGGGCTTTCTTCGCGGGCTACGACAACGACCGAAGCGGCATTCTCAGCAGTGTCTACGACAACCACACTACGTTCACTCTCAATGTGAACACATCGGCTCCCAGGGCCCAACAAACAGAAACAGCGCCCTGGGATGCGTATATCAAGAAAAGCAGAAACCTTCTCAAGATCAGCCATCTTCCTGCACGCATGTCTAGGGTATACACCGGTGCGGAGAAGATCCGCGAGTTATGGACCAGTCTTCCAGCGACAAGACATCCTGACATTGCGACGCACCCGGAAGAATGGCTTATCGAGTGCTACCCCATCCCAGGTCTTCCTGATATTTCTGGACAGAGCTCCACGGGTGTTGGTGGTCTTCTCATCATGGTGCACGGAAAGTTCGACGAGATAAACGGGGCCAAGGTTGAAACGCGCAGTTTCGATCGAACATTCATCATCGGGCCCGGTGGTGGTATGGGCGGAATTAGGGTTGTCAGTGATCTTCTCTGCTTGCGAGCCTATGGTGGACACGAGGCATGGATTCCAGAGGTTCCACCAGCCGTTCCCCAAGCAGCACCTCCAGCAGTTGCGGCTGTACCCGCAGCTCCTGCGGCACCTGCAGCACTACCAGTAGCTATTCCGGGTGCCCCCGAAGGCTACGGCATGCCGGCGCCTGGGAAAGCAGACACACAAGTCCAGCAAGAGCAGCTAGTACTTCAGATGAGCTCTAATACTCGGATGACCCTTCAGTACTCTGAGATGGCTTTGTCTGGAAACGGCTGGAATATGGAGGCTGCACTGAAGAACTTCGAGGAACTTAAGGTGAGTCTAGAGTGTGTTCTTTACATACAACCATGCGCTAATAAGCTTTTGCAGGCGCAGGGAACACTGCCTCCGGATGCTTTTCTACCTGCAGCAGTGTAATTTGACCAAGGAGGGAAGGGCCAATCCTTAAAAGAAAAAATGAAAAAGGAAAACGAAGAAGAAGATATACCAAATGAATGAGGAACAACTTTTCGAGCGATTCTCCTCCAGACTTAGTCTGGTCTTCGCATCCCCGGCTTTCGTCGGGAGGTTCCTGGTGGTGTTTGATCGGAGTCGACTGTCTCTTTATTTGTGATTTGCTGATGCATGGCTTGGGCGAATGGCTTCGGAGCTCGTTACAATTGCTTTAATTTTCCTTCGATGTATACTAAAAGACCACGATGATTTTCATGTCCATATAGACGAGACCTGCGGTACAAGGGGTGGTTCAATCAAACCAGAAACCTAGGATCGATTCTGGGGGCAATGACTTCCAGGTCGATGCGACTTGACGTATCCATCTATCTCTCTGAATAGCTTGTAGAATTGACCTTCATAGAAGAAGAATTTAAACGTGGGATTATCATGCGCCCTGTCCTGTTTCCGACGAACGGACAAGAGGCGATGACGAGGCCCGGCGGCGCGGGCAAAGCGCTAAGACTAAGAGCTGCCCGTGACTGACTGATTGACGGAGCCGGGCTGAGTTGTCGCCAACTTCCCGACCTGCGGCTCCGGCATCAACACCCTCCCCCGCGGTCCTTACAGCTTGTTGTTTTCGGGTTCTGTTCACTCCTTTGGTAGCCTTCGCTCTTGGGTTTATGCTTACATGTTGAATTGGCGGATGCCCCCTAGCTGGCATTGCAGCATGTGTCTGGCGTTGACGCTCAGGAGCTAATGGAATGTCCGCCACTACTACCACCACCCCCGGCCAAATGCCCTCCAACGGGGAGGGCCCCCTCGATCCTTTGGACGCAGGTGAGGGCTGCCATTGACGACCTACCCCAGCAGGGAGCTTGCTAATAGATTCAACTTCGCAGCGGACTACGATCCGATCGACCACTTGAACTCAATCTTTTCCCACCCCTCCACCTTGTCGTCGGTGTCCCAGGTCTCCCAGTCCCTCCGCGAATATGAGGATGAGCTCGACAACGATATCGGCGCACTGGTCGAAGACCAGGTCACATCCAATGCGGAGAGTGTCGAGCGCATCCAGGCCGCCAAGGCCGACTTGACGGAGCTGTTCAAGAAGATTGACGATGTGCGCGACCGCGCGTCCAGGACGGAGCTGGCCATTACGGAGATGACGGCGGATATCAAGCAGCTGGACAATGCGAAGCAGAACCTCACGCTGTCGATGACGGTCCTGAAGAGACTGCAGATGCTAACGACAGCCTACGACCAACTACGTTCTCTGGGCCGGACGCGGCAGTACCGCGACTGTGCTCAGCTGCTACAGGCGGTCATACAGTTGATGGCGCACTTCAAGTCGTATCGCTCGATCGATCAGATTGCGCTGCTCAGTCGGAACGTTGCGGATATACAACGGGAGCTTCTGGAGCAAGTCTGCGAGGACTTCGAGTTGGCGTTCGCGAAAGGGGAAGTTGGCCAAAAGAGGCACGTGCTCTCGGAGGGCTGCTTGGTCATGGATGCGCTCGGTGATCACGCAAAGTCTAGGTTGGTGACCTGGTATTGCAACTTCCAGCTACGTGAATATCGCCAGGTTTTTAGGAACAACGAAGAGGCCGGCTCACTGGACAACATCTCGCGGCGGTATGCCTGGTTTAGGCGGATCCTGAAGAACTACGACGAGGATTATGCGCCCATCTTTCCCGCCTCCTGGAGGGTCAACGAGATTCTGGCGAATGTTTTCTGCGAAGGTACGCGGGAGGACTTCAAGGGCATTCTCTCCCGATCGGTGCGCAATGGCCAGACGATTGACGTCAACCTGCTACTGTCCTGTCTACAAGAGACGCTGGACTTTGAGCATTCCCTTGAACGGCGGTTTGTCAGTCCATCTCGGCCTTCGACGGATACGTTCGCTTCGAGTGAGGCACCAGTCTTTGGTCAAGCCATCTCAGAGGCGTTCGAGCCCTACCTGAGCGTCTGGGTTGAGGCCCAGGACAAGCAGCTGGCTGCGCTTATCCCTAAATACCGCCAACAACCCGTGAAGCCACCGGATGAAGAATTTGACTCGCACATTGTTATATCCTCTTCCACCGACCTTTTCACGTTCTACCGGCATTCGTTGCAGCAATGCGCGAAGCTATCTACTGGCGCTAGCCTTGCGGAGCTTGCGAAGGTATTCGCGAAGTATCTCGATCAATATGCACAGGTCTTGCTCTATTACATCAGTGAAAGGCCCACGGGTCACACTCCCTCGAAGGTACCAGGTACCGAGGAACTTATCCTAGTGCTCAACACTGCGGACTATTGCTATACGACCTGTAATCAATTAGAGGAAAAGATCAAGGGTAGGCTCGACAAAAACCTCAAACAGTCGGTGGACCTACAAAGTCAAGCGGACTCGTTCATGGGCATTGCTTCTGCAGCTGTTCGAGGACTGGTGCGTAAGGTCGAGATTGACCTGGAGCCCTGCTGGCGGGAGATGCGCAACACACCCTGGAACCGGCTGGAGGGCGTAAGCGATCAAAGCTCCTATGTCGGCGAGCTAATGTCCAAGACGCAGACAAGATGCTCTGAATTGTTGCAGCTGCTGCATAAGCAACAGTATGCCCGCGCATTTGCAGACCATGTTGTGGAGCTGATATCGAACGTGTTCATTGCGACTGTCTTCCAGTGCAAGCCGATCGCGGAGACCGGTGCGGAGCAGGTAGGTTCACTGTCTCAGCTTATATTGTAACGTTTATTGGAACTAACGGATGTTATCAGATGCTTCTGGATGCCTACACCCTCAAGACTGGCCTCTCGTCGCTCCTCCCCAGCCCCGCGCCAGCAGGTTTCGTAAAGCGCGTCAACGCCAGCTTTGCGAAGATCGAAGCCCTCCTCAAGACTCTCCAAGTTCAACCGTCTCCTCCTGAGGCCCTGGTCCAGGCCTACCTGGTCCACATCGCCGACCAAAACAACGCCAACTTCCGCAAGATCCTCGACATCAAGGGCATCCGCAGTCGCCAGGAACAAAACCACCTCTTAGAACTCTTCCAAATCCATCGAGCATCTGATCGCTACGCAGCGAACCTCCAGCAGAGCAACCCCATCTTGTCCGCCATGCAGGCCTCCGTGACACCATCCTCCGGCACCGTCTCGCAGGGTCTCGGTCTCGGCACCGCCGCAGCATCCATCGGCGCCTCCACCCGCTTCGACCCTACCATGCTCGGATCCGCCATCATCTCCGCCGCCAAAGACGGTGTAGATCGATTCGGGACGCCAATGAGCTCAGCCAACACGACTAACCTGACCCCAGGTGGTGGCGCCATATCCGGCGCCTTGACCAGCCCGGCTTCCACTCCTGGACCGTTGGGGCAGACACAAACGCAAGGCGGAGAAGGCAGCACCGCTGCAGGCAACCTGAACGAGAATCTGAAGAACATTGGAAAATTCTTCCGTCGGGATCTGGGTGGATTCGGAGGCAGGTTTGGACGGAGTGGTGATGATGGCAGTTGATACTACTACTATTTTATGTATATTTTACAACCGTCTTAGCGAATAGCATATATCCTGTGTATTGACCATTGTTTGTATTATATTATTCGCTAAACCTGTAGCTTTATCTTAACTACGCCGATACCTTTCATGAACGACAAAGTCCGACCCAGACTATAGATCACTACCACTAGTATTACACCGAGCCATATATCTATACTTACCCACCACTAGAACCTAAATTGAATAAACAAATCAACCCCTACCAACAAACATATACTCTCACTTCACCAAGATACCACCAAAAACCCAAACTAACAATCACCCAGGTCCTCCTCCAAACTCATTATAAAATACTACAAAGTAACTTACTACTAAGTACGTAGCTAGTAGCTGTTAACCCCATTCATTCCACACAGTTAGCCTTACTTCAATGCATACATACACATCCTCCCTTCCGGGATATGGATAGTTATATACTCTATTTCCCTCCCCGCTGACATAACAACATGTCTTCATGGTGTAGTTGGTTATCACGTGGGTCTCATATCACATTCTTGAATATGACTAGGAAACATCTCAATTTCCTGGATATCCCAAGGCCGGGAGTTCGAACCTCCCTGAGGACATTTCTTTTTGTTTTCTTTTCTCCTTTGCTTTTTGTTTTTGTGGTTTCGTTGTGGAGGGGTGCGGTGGGGGGTGTTTGCGGGCCGAGATATGTGGGTAAGTACTACGAAGTAAATTATGTTGGACTGTGTTGGGTGTTGAGTGGCTGTGCGTCGGGGGTTATTCTCTCTCTTTTTTGTCATTTTTTTTATACTATGGTACTTGAGTAGGAAGGATTGGGAGGAGGTAAGGCGAAGGAGTTAGGATGGTGTGATTATTATCTAACGTATCGGGTTTGTCGTAAGTATATGTACTCCCAGAGGTTGAAGGCATAGCCATAAGATTACTCTATCGCTACATGGACGTTTGAACCCAGAAGCATGATATACCCAAGCCGTGCTGTGTAGTCTATAAACTAAGAAACGCTCAACCCTCCGACATGTTTCCCCGGAGTCAAGGAGAAAAGAAGCTGACTCATATAACATCGTCTCTCATCCACTCATCAAATCCCAGAGGCCCCCATTCCCAATGAAAGAAAAAGGAAAAGAGAACATTATAGCATGGGAAACCACTGCGTGATGGCGGTGAGGATGGTGGAAAACGCATCCAACGAAAAGAAAAGAAATCTCCATTTCATCTCCGAATCTTAGTGCAAACGCCATCGCAGAAATAAGTCATCGCACGAACATAACAGAACCGAGCAGTACCGGGGCCGAAACCCCTCACATGGTATCATAAGCGAATTTCATCAAGCCCCAGCACAACATCATCACTCCTCATCTTATCTCCCCGTTTACTGCGATGCGCACTGCACACGCTCAGCGCCAGGAGGAACATCATCGTCATCCTCGTCCATGGAGTTGGCGGCACCGTGTGCGCGCGCCTGAGAGGTCTCGCTGCCATCGATGTCCTCCAGCTCGAAGTCCTCGATCATGGCGTCCTGTGGGGGCTGGGACTGCTCCATACGAGGAGGCAGGACCTGCTCGAGCAACTCGAGGTTCTTGAGCTGATCCTTCTCGGGGAACTTCACATCGAATTGGATGTAGAGGTTACCGAAGTCGTGGTGGCGGTAGGAAGGCATACCCTGGCCCTTGATAACCTTGATAGCACCTGCAGAGACAACGTTAGACTGATGCGCCAAAGTCGAGGCTGGAAAGGGGAAGCACATACCAGGAGTGATGACCTCGCCCGGAGCGACGGTCACGGTCAACCACCGGTCATCAAGATGCTCAATGTTGATGGTACCACCGCCAAGAGCAGTGAGCAGGTCGATCTCGGCCTGGTAGAAGAGGTCGTCGTCCTTGCGCTGGAAGCGAGGGTGGGGCTTCTGCTCGATCTCGAAAACGACGTCGCCGGGCAGAACACCGGGCATCTGGTCACCCTCGCCGCGGAACTCAATCTTGTGGCCGTTCTTCACACCACGGTCAACGTGGACGTGGAGAACCTTGCGCTCCACGGTGGTCTTCTTGCCGTTACAGCGCTTGCAGCGGTCCTTCTCACGGATGATCTCACCCTCGCCATTGCAGTCGGGGCAAACGGTCTGGAATCGCTGGATCATGGGACCCATCTGGCGCATCATGGTCTTCATACCGGAACCATTGCAGCCGGTACACGACTTGACAGCACCCTCCTTACCACCGCGGCCATCACAACCCGGGCAGATGACGGACTTCTGAAGGGCCAGCTTCGAGACCTTACCGCGGTAGATATCCTCGAGGTTGACCTTGTGAACGTGGTGGATGGTGCGAGCCTTCTTGGGGCCCTGTTCACGCATACCACCACCGAACATGCCACCGAAACCACCACCGCCGCCGAAGAACTGAGCGAAGAGGTCCTCGGCGCCCATACCACCGCCAGCACCGCCATGCTCAAGACCCTCCTCACCGAGCTGGTCGTAGAGGCTACGCTTCTGGGGGTCGGAGAGGGTTTCGTAAGCGTGAGACAATTCCTTGAACTTCTCAGCGGCCTCGGGGTTGTTCGTGTTCTTGTCTATGTGAAGATGTCGCGTTAGTAAACACCCCTAGATATTTCGTGAAAAGCACCGCTCTCGCGATTCAAGTTCGTACTTACCAGGGTGGTACTTCAGAGCACCCTTCTTGTAGGCGGACTTCAGTTGGGCCTCAGAAGCCGTCGGGGCAACCTAACCGCCTCACCGTTAGTTTCTGTGACGTGCAAAACCAGCCAAAGTTGGCGAAAACCCAGAACATACCCCCAAGATATCGTAAAACTTAGTTTCCTTGACCATTGTGATCTGTGTCTAGAAGAGAAAAATTTCGGAAGAGAAAAGTTGGGCGACGAGGAGAAGCCGAGGGAAAATAAAGAAGAATCAAGAACTTTTCGGAGGGACGAAACGGAACAATCCGATCCTAGAAAACCTTACACCGGGGTATGGAACAGGTTGAAACAAAGAGGGCACAAAACCAAGGAGTGTAGAGAAGTCCTTGAAAAAGAGGGAGGAGTGGAAGAGACGAGGGGAGAGGAGTCTCGAAGGCGTGAGGGGGATAAGTGAGAGGTGGAAGGAAAGGAAGAGTTGGAGAGAGAGAGGGTCCGTCCGGGTGATAATCAAAGCCAGGAGAGAGAGCCAGAGAAGAGAGAAAGCGGCGACAGGGCGGCGGCTGAGACACAGTGAGAGGGTATTGTATGTGTAATCTGATTACCAGGACCAGGCACCAATCGACCTTTGATTTGCCGCACGAGCACAGTGAAGTCCCGCCAAGAGTTTCGAGATTTGTGTATCAAATACCGGAGATACGATGGGGCGAAACTCCGGGAAGTATAGAAATGCTGGAGAAGATGAGCGAACTGCGCTTCAACTGGCCGGAACTGGAGTTAAATAAGAAGATGGGGGGGATGAGATAGAAATCTGAAAGGATCAGATCTTAACACGAAAGGAGAGATCGTCGGATGCTTTTGAACAAATTGTCATGACCACGATGACAACGTCTCAGGCTGAATGGAGTTGTTCTCTTTGCTTCGACAAGCCCCGTCACCCGCAGCCTTCATGGCCCGAGCGCGCCTTCCGACTGCTTCGATGCGATTCTGTGTCCTTCCACCGCTTTCGCAGCCTTTCCATCGCTGACAATCGCCCTGGTAATTACCGGTTCGTGACCGTGGAGAGAGCGTTGGTTGCATCTATTTTCTGGGTGTTTGACCAAAAGTGTATGTATCACCGGGACTTTCCTTTCTATCTCGTTCGATACTACTACAACATGGAGGGGTGGTCCTAAAGTAAGCTGGTCCTTATTCCACAAGTCGGTAGTATGCGACAGGGTCTGCCTGGGTATTACAGTCCAATTATACATAGTTCACGAGGATCTTCACACTAAGTACTAAATGCTGTGTATTGTGTAGCATCCCTCCATCCATACTCACTTACTACTTAACACTCCCATCTTACATGTAAAAAATACCTACCCAGTATAATACAATGGGTAAAATCCAAGAAAGAAAAAAAAAAAAAAAAAGGAAACTGCAAAATTAAACTTTGACGTAGCCGCCCGGATCTGCCTTGTCTTGTCTCCAGGTCAGATTCTTTTCTTTTGCCTCAGGCACCGGGATTGTGGCGGGCGGTGGCTGATTGTCGGCTTATCGATAAGGAGAGGCGATTAGCCCGATGCGGAAGGAGGGGAAGAAAAAGCCTGTCGGGAATTTCCCCACCTGGAGATTACTATTCATTATTCCTCGCGATCGCTAATTGCCGGTGGGCTTCGGATTAATTGGAAAATGCCTGGTACGTATACTCTACGGTTTCTTCTGGTGTAGAGGCAATTCATTGTCCCGGGTACCAGACCACCAAGGAATAAAGTCAATTCTATGGTTCTTGCCATGACGGTGGAGCAAAGGATCAGAGATTGATCTCTGCGATAAGAGGAGATACTACTAGCAGATATGACTGGCATGGGGTTTGCGCGGGATGACCCCGAGGTTATCAACCACTGCTAGTTTGATTCTCTAACTTATTAATTAGTGTGAATGAATGATTACAAGAAGGACTTTACAATCAGTCTGTATAGATCTAGATCAAATGTCTCATACAATCAACTCATACCACATTGAGTTATAGTTATATACGAGACATGAAATGTCAAGCATCTGGCTTGCGCTTATGCATGTCGATCCCCAAGCACCCTCGAAAAGCACCTTATGCATGACCATAACCCAAGAAAGTCTATCACATGCACACATAATCAATGAATTTGTTATCAAGTACGAATGTATCAATATCCCCTATCTCAATGACAGCACCTACTATCTCCCTTCTCATTATCATGGAGCTCCGCACGTCCAGCCCGATGCGGGTCAGTCCGGCAGTTAACCACACAGAGTTTGCTCCGGCTTGATGCTACCCCATCTTTTTCTATCTATCTCTCTCCCTCCCATTACCCCTCCAATCGCTCTATAATCCATATTCCAATTATTGTATATCAAACACAAACCATCATGGAGTCTGACGCCGGATTCATTGCTGCTGTGGAAGAAGCCAAGCAGGGCGCTGCTGAGGGTGGTGTGCCCATTGGAGCTTGTTTGGTCTCCAAGGATGGCAAAATTCTAGGCCGCGGTCACAATATGCGCGTTCAGAAGGGTAGTCCGGTGTTGCATGTTCGTTGAGCCCATTCCCTTTTCAAGTAGTTATTTTGGCTCTGACTCATTCTAATTCCTACGATCATAGGCTGAGATGTCCGCGCTCGAGAACTCCGGTCGTTTGCCCGCTTCGGCCTACGAGGGCGCTACTATGTACACTACCCTGTCGCCGTGCGACATGTGCACCGGTGCTTGCATCCTCTACAAGGTTAAGCGCGTTGTTGTGGGCGAGAACAAGAGCTTCATGGGTGGTGAAGACTACCTTAAGAGCCGCGGGAAGGAGGTTGTGGTTTTGGACAACGCAGAGTGTAAGCAGCTGATGGAGAAGTTTATGAAGGAGAAGCCGGAGCTTTGGTAGGTTTCCCATGCATCTCATTGGAATGGTCTAGATTTTTGTTGGAACGTAAGCTGACTGTGAGACGTCTTTGCAGGAACGAGGATATTTCCGTCTGATTTTTAGAATTTCGTGAAGGTGTCAACGACATTGCTGGCTAGGCTCTCATGTACATAATCAAGAATTGGAAGCTAGTTCTGGTCGCATTGAGCCCCAATCTACACCGTCAGACGGTGTATCTCCTCGAAGAAGAACTTGAGATCATCCGGGTTGACGAAAGGAGTCACACCTGTGTAACATTAGCATCGTAGCAACTCGCCCAGTTGGTGGAGGTGCTTACCGTGACCCAAGTTGGCGATCCAGCCTTGCTTGCCCTTCTCGAAGCCCCGAGCCATGGTCTCCACAGCCTCCGTGATAGCCTCGCGACCTCCATAGAGAACACCGGGGTCAGCGTTACCCTGGATCGTCACACGACCGTTGGCAATGCGTCTAGCCTCAGCGGGGTCATGCAGCCAGTCCAAACCAACAACGTTGTAGCCCGACTCGCAGAGATCCTCAAGGCCGAACCACGCACCCTTCGCGAAGACCGTCATGGGGACAGGCTCCAGTCCCATCTCCCTCAACTTCTTAGGCAGGTTCGCCGAAATGTGACGCAAGTAGGGAAGAGAGAACGACTTGAAGGCGGCCGGAGACAGCTCACCCGCCCAGGAGTCGAAGACCTGTACCAGCTGAGCACCAGCAGCAACCTGAAGCGCCAGGTATTCGACACAGATCTCGGCGATCTTCTGCAGGAGAGCCTGCGACTCCTTGGGGTACTTGTAGATCCACTTCTTCGACTGAACGAACAACTTCGTACCGCCTCCCTCTACCATGTAGCACAGCAGAGTCCACGGGGCACCGCAAAAGCCGATCAACGGCACACGACCCTGCAGCTTGTGGCGGGTGAGGGTAATAGCCTTGTAGACGTAGTCGAGCTCCGACTTGACATCCACCTCCTTCTGCATCACTTTCTCGTACTGTCCGTCATCGGGCGACTGGAGCGGTTCAGGGAAATGGGGGCCCTTCTTGTCGACCATTTCGACCTGCATTCCCATGGCCTGGGGAATGACCAGGATATCGGAGAAGATGATCGCGGCATCGATGAGTCCAGCGTAGCGGTCGATGGGCTGGAGCGTCAACGTCGATGCGACTTCGGGATCGCGGCAGCATTCGAAAAAGTCGCGGCCAGCCTTGGCTTCATGGTACTCGGGGAGGTAACGGCCAGCTATATAAGAAGCACAGCATGGTCAGTTATCAGAGAGGCATAATTTACTCGAGTGTCGAAAGAGTGCAAAATGAGGAGTTTTTAGAGAGAGGCGTACCTTGCCGCATAACCCATATCGGAGGACGCTGGACTTTCTCGCCTACAATGATATCAGTCCCATCTCTTCGAATATAATGGTTTGAGATCAAAATTACCCCTAGCTGCCCTCAGCAAGAGGTCGTTCTTCAATGGCTCGAATTGATGCTGCATTTTGATGTGGGATGTGGGAGTGATGGAGGGGACCTTGCGGAGGAGGGGCTTGCGACATGCAAGTCCTGCCACCGTTCGCGGCCTCGGGCCGGAAATCGACTCGTCCTCCGTGGCTCAGGTAAGCTTCAATCTGTTCGAAAGCCTGGAACACCTGCTTAATCTACTTCAATTGGAATATGTTACGCAATTTGAAAATAGCTATGCAGCGATGTGATGTTGCTTTCATTGTAATATGCTATATGTATTTAAGATATTCCTCCCACGCGCCCTGACAGCGGCGACCAATACAATGCCCATGGAATCCTTCACAGCCAACAACAGCCTCATGTACTACGCTCTTCTAGCCGCTACTTGTACACAACCACAGAGCAAGCCTCTGGGGTAACGAACAGCGCGACGGCCTTACGTCCGGGCTACATTTGATCTGTGAACCTGAGAAAGCTGTTAGCTATCGGACCATTAAAGGTAATGTGTGACAAAATGGCAAATTGAAGAGATGGTGTCAGCAAAAAATTAGAGTGTTTGTTGTTGCTGTTTTTGTTCGTCAAAGCAAGTAGCTCTGGGTTAAAAATGTATCATCATATCACCGGGGAGTGGGCATGTATGCGAAGCAAGAAAAACCAAAGAATTGTTGAAAGCTCACCTTTTTCAGTTCATCAGATCAGGGAACGTTACTACGTCCCTATCTAGATGAAAGAAGATCATTGTTTCATGACCATGACAATCATTTTCATTTACCCAATCGTCAAGACCGGCAAGAAAAGTATCTAATACATGGCATTCGTATCCCGTGAAGCATTGACACGAGACGTTTAGTCGAAGAGGCCGAAGCCCATGTCCTCGTCGGACTCCTCCTCTTCCTCCTTGGGAGCCTCAGCGGCGGGAGCACCACCGGCAGCAGGGGCAGCGGCAGCGGCAGGAGCAGCGGAGGCGTAAGCGTCAGGGTTGGCGATACGGTCCTTGAGCTCCTCAATCTCGGGCCAGCTGTACTCGGTCTCAACAGCAACGGCAAGAACCTTCTTGTAGCTGTTGACCAGGGAGTGCATGACAGCGGGGAGAGTGGGGTAGTTAACAGCCAGGGAGATGGTGGTGATGGTGTTAATGGCGCTGGAGAAGGCCTCAAGGAGCTGAGACTCCTCAATGTCCAGAACAGCAGAGCTGAAGCACTGACCCTGGTCGTAGACCTGCTGGATGGTCATACCATAGGTGAAGGGAGAGATGTTGAGCATGTTCAACAGGGTGGCCTCAGAGGGACCGACCTTGCTTCCAGCCTCAACGAGCTTGAGGTCGGTGGTAATTTCAATGGTACCACGAGCAATCTTGGTGGGGACACCGAGAGCCTGGAAGAAAGAGGTCTTACCGGGTTCCATACCGGTGTTACCGGCGGGAATCCAGACATCGCCAGGGGCGATGGCACCGGCACGAGCGGGAGCAGCGACACGGTTGGCCAGGATCTTCTCCTTGGTGGACTTGAGGTCACCGTTGGTGAAGATGAAACCAACGTTACCTGTAAAAGAGAGCGAAAGTTAGCCAATTGACATCATTGCATACTCTGGAAGCAATTTCACTTACCCTTAACGAAGGGGAGCAGACGCTCGTACTCGGGGTTGTCGTTGACAAAGCCCTTGATGGCACGGCGAACCTAAAAAACTCATCAGCATGCAAATCAAGCACCGGTGATTTCAGAGGATCACATACCATGGTGTTCTTACCCATCAGGACGACACCCTCGCCACGGAGACTCAGACGAATCTCGTGCATCTGCTGAGAGCTGACATTGTCGACACCGACAATGAAGACCGTCTTGTACTCATCGAGAAGGGCCTTGAGCTTCTCGAAGTAAGCGGCCTTGGTAGCAGACTTGCCCCCCATGTCTCCTTAATTCGCTGAAGATAGGATGTTTAAGGGCAAGTGAAATGTTTCGACTTTCGTGGTTGTCCGATCTGAATCGTGACGATGAAGTTCGAAAAGTACGGAAGGTCGCGTCGATTTTGGGAAATTCTTAGTTGTGGCCTCGCTTGTTTCCCAGTCACGTGGGCCCCGCTTTCCTCCGGCCCAGTTGGGAAGGCGGTCGGGCGCGCGGAGATGCGGCCATGATGCGGCGGGACATCGACTTTTTACGGCGATCTACTGCGACGGCGGAGAAGAGGCCTTACTTCGTGCTTCTATATTTCGTTCGTTTACACTCTCAGTCAATTCTTCCAAAATGTCTGCGCAATTCCAACATCCCTTGCAATGCCTCCGCTTGGTGCAGAGGTCGCCTACGAACATTCTGATAGGGTCAGCGGGCTCCAAGCTGTACTCCTACTCCGCAGAAACTGGCCAGCGACTGGCGGTTTGGCCAGCAGATGTCGCTTCGAATGAAACCAACCCTGTTGACGCAGAGTCCACTCCCGAGCAGGGACCCCCAGAGAAGAAGCGGAAGGTCTCATCGTCAGAACCTCAATCAATTGGCAAGCCTGCCTGGTCAAACATCCCCATAGTAACTGGCACTTCGAACGGCGAGCACATAGTTGCGCTTACCGCTGAAGACAAGTGCGTCCGTGTCTTCCAGCTTCAGGAAGATGGTTCTTTTGTTCAGCTGAGCGAGAGGTGAGTGAATATCTGCTCCATCAATCCTGGCTCAAGATCTGGAAACTCATACTTTATACAGAGCCATGCCCAAGCGACCCTCCGCCATTACCCTCACTGATGACGACAACACTATCCTGTGTGGTGACAAATTTGGAGATGTCTACTCGTTGCCACTGATCCCAGGCGACAAGATTCCTGTCGTTACGAAAGCCCTCAGAAGCGCAAAACTTAGCCATCCGGCGGCAACAAACCTGACCGTGCATACGAAGGGCAACTTACGAGCCTTGGAACAACAATTGCGTCTAGCCAGCGAAGGAAAGAGGGATGAGAAGTCCTCTGGCCCGACTTTCGAACACAAAGTCTTGCTTGGCCATGTGTCGCTGCTCACGGACATGGCTTATGTCTCGCTTCCGGTGGATGAGAACAAGAAGCGCAGCTACATCCTGACCGCCGACCGAGATGAACATATCCGTGTCTCCCGTGGTCCTCCTCAAGCCCATGTCATTGAGAACTACTGCTTGGGCCATACTTCATTCATCAGCAAGCTTTGTGTGCCTCAGTGGGCACCCCAGTATCTCGTTTCTGGCGGAGGCGACAACTACCTGCTCGTTTGGAACTGGGCTGAAGGCCGTATTCTCCAGAAGGTTTCCCTGGTAGACGAGGCATCGGAAGCTACAGAGGTTGCAGTGCAGGGTATCTGGGCGACGACCCTTGGAGACCTGCGTATCATCCTCGTCGCGCTTCACGGGTGAGTTTTCTTACACCTCCCATCTAATTACTACTAAGTACATGTTCTAACCGGAGTAGATCCTCCCGTCTGCAATGCTTCACGCTGGAATCCGACGGTACCCTGAAAACACAAGCCTCGATCCAACTCTCCGGCAACGTCCTCGACCTCACCCCCGTCGAGAAAGACAACACTATCCTTGTCTCCGTCGACTCTATCCGCCAGTCTGACTCCACTCAAGAATGGAGAGCCAGCCCCGCCTCCCCCTCCACCCTGGTTGAAGCATTCCACGTCAAGAGCGGCAACGACAACTTGGAATGGGAGCCGACCGCGGCGTCTGTGACCGATAAGATCAACTCCACCGGTACGGAAGAAGTCCCAGCCACCACGGAGGAGAAGCAACGGAAGGAACTGAACGACTCGCTATATGGATTGGGACATCTTCGGAAGAGGAAGGGTGAAGATGAGTGAAAAGGGGAAATAGAGTAAAAAAGTTTGGTCTTTTGCGAATAGATAATAGTATACTCGTCGCGAGGAATGTATATACCTGTCAACCGTCAACGAGTTATTGGAATGCTTTTGCTAGCGTCTATGCAATTCACTTTTTATCATTTCTTTCCTACAATCAGCAATGAAGCGGTGACCCGTAGAGCCATGAGCTAGTAGTCATACAGTAGCACCACAGAAAACGTAGAATTAGTAGGTACTATGTGTTCTATATCATGGACACTCACTTTAGCATCATTCCTAATGCTTCGATGTTCACCTCTGTCATGGCGACATTGATCACTACATCATTCATTATACACAATTTAATGACAATTTCTTCGTGCATAAGAAAATTCTTTTCAATGTTTGAGCCCGTGAGGTTCACTTCAAAGTATATCTAACTAAGCGAGCTCTTCATCTCCCCTCATACACCATTTGACTAGCGTAACGAGATAGATGTGCTGAGGTACTCTACGAAAGTCAAGAGTCAGAGATTCAGAACCGGGCTGCATCATACGGCAGATGATGCTGCTAGAGCCTCTCACAGCATGGTAATCTGCACTGTAACCCTCCAGCAGCATCCTCTAGGTGCAGGATGGTATTGTGAAAAGCATAAGCTGTGCACTCCATTTCATCTGTAGTTGCTTATTGTTGAGCAGATGATGAGAGAAAAGATCGACCCAAGTGAGAAGCTATACGTAGATGACGTCGGTTAGTATCGTATATAAGCGGATTGCTGGTTAGATGACTTGTGGGATGCCAGATTAACTCGAGCGTAATGTTAGTATACTTCAGTGGAGGGGCACACCCAAGCTCGGTCATGTGCTCTGCAAGGACGCGGACAACAAAGCACTTGCAGGTCGCTTGTATCTCGTGACCTTTGCTGCAGTGAGACGCCAGACTCTCAGAGAGATATGTTAGAAGTGATTCAGATTAATGCAGTATATTGTCACAGGGACAGTTCAAGCACGTTAAGCTACTGAACCCATGGTAGTAGGGTTATGGCAACTCGGTTGAGGTAAGGTTGACTGACGGCTGTCACATAAGACATTTATTGAACTTTAGATGGATGACTTCGATGGATAGATATCAAGGTTTGCAGATCACTGTTGTTGGCAGTTAGTCTGGGTCTGTGCCAGAACCGTATGTCTCGCTTAGTTCCTTCTATGGGTGTTCCTAAGAGGCGACTGGATAGATTTGATGTACGATG